TTGAAAAAGCCCTTTATGAATAGAATTCCATCAAGAACCGTGACATTGCCCGGTATTGTGCAGCCGGGGCCCCACCCTGGAGCCAGGCCCGGGGTTGGGACTCGAATGCGAGCGCCTGGTGGCCGGGCCTCCCCTCACAGGGCCTGGCCGGGCTTATCCCGAACTAGTGATGTGTGGACGTCCTCCCATGGGCCCACCACCTGCAGAAGGATTCATAAGGGGCTGGTGCACAGTGGATTGGGCAGCAGTCGAAGACAGAGGCCCCGACGACCCGATCTCTGGACATGGAGACCAGCCCTGGGGACATGGAATGTCACCTCGCTGGTGGGGAAGGAGCCCAAGCTTGTGCAGGAAGTTGAGAGGTACCAGCTAGATATAGTCAAGCTCACCTTCACACACAGCTTTGGCTCTGGAGCCTTACTCCTCGAGAGAGGCTGGACTCTCCACTACTCTGGAGTTGCCTGCAGTGAGAGGCGGTGGACTGGTGTGGGCTTGCTTATAGCCCCCCAGCTTAGCCGCCATGTGTTGGAGTTTGCCCCGGTGAACAAGAGGGTCGTTTCCCTGCGCCTTCGGGTCAGGAATAGGTCTCTCACTGCCATTTGTGCCTATGGGCCGAATGGCAGTGTAGAGTACCTGGCCTTCTTGGAGTCCCTGGGAAGGGTGCTGGAAAACACCCTGACTGGGGACTCTATTGTTCTACTGGGGGACTTCAACGCTCATGTGGGCAGCAACAGTGACACCTGGAGGGGCGTGATTGGGAGGAACGGCCCCCCACATCTGAACCCGAGTGGTGTTCTGTTATTGGACTTCTGTGCTAGTCACAGTTTGTCCATAAGAAATACCAAGTTCAAGCATAAGGGTGTCCATCAGTGCACGTGGCACCAGGACACCCTAGGCCGGAGGTCAATGATTGACTTTGTGGTTGTTTCATCTGACCTCCGGCTGTATGTCTTGGACACTCAGGTGAAGAGAGGGGCGGAGCTGTCAACTGATCACCACCTGGTGGTGAGCTGGATCCGATGGCG